ACAGCTTTAAGACTTTAAGGTTTAGATAGGACTCTTAGAGGCGGGCAGGGCAATTGGTGAGCCAGCCAAACAGTGAGCGGCGGGGGGGGGGGGGGCAAGCCTGGTGTGGATGGGGGGGAGGGAGCTGGAACCAGTTCTAAACGGCACGGTAGATTTGTGGAACCTCTTCTATAGAAGAGGTTAGAACTGGCAGGAACCCACCCCTGGAATCTGCCCACCGGCCTGCCACTTGCCCAAGTTGAGCTATGCACTTGTGTGCTCACCGAACCACTGCTTGCATGGCCCAGTTCCCCTCTCCCCTCAGCCAGGCCCCCAAGCTGCAAAGATTGGGGACCGCTGCATTAGAGAATATTGTTCCCAGTGAGAATAGAATGGGTATTTGGTGGTGACTTCCTTCAACCCGTCTCTTTTGTTTTAGGGGCGAACCACAGTGCAAAAAAGCTGTGCGGATCCTGTGTGGCATGAACAGGTTGTCTTTAAAGAAATGTTTCCCCCATTGTGCCGGAGAGTCAAAATCCAAGTATGGGACGAAGGCAGCATGAATGATGTGGCTTTGGCAACTCATATGATAGAGCTGAAGAAGATCTCAAATGAACAGGATGGCGATAAAGGTAAAGAGACAAATGCTGCTCTGGTGAAAAAACTCAGGCTGCAGTGGTGTGATGAAACTGTGGGTGATCTTGGGTAATGAACAGATGCTGCCTAGGAAACAGTCAGATAAGAGAAGCAGGAGCCCCCAGTGGCTTAACGGTTAGAGAAAGAAACTTAGAGTGGACCTATCATAATTGATCAAGCATTTAAAAATGACAGCAGGAAATGTGTACATTCAGATTTGCAAGATTCCATTAATGGAGCCTTACAATAAAACAGAATTAGCACACCTTAGTTTCAATTGAGAAAATGTGACCAAGCCAAGTCAAAAACGTCAGGGAATTTCTAGAAGACTGGCACTCTGAGAAATCAGCCCTCGAGATCAGCATAGATTAACTCCAAGCTTACATCAGACCAATAATCAAATAAAAAACACCCCAATCAAGAAACTGCCAAACAGCAAACAGAATCCTTAAGACAATCCCCACCAACACCGACAGGCAAGCTACTAGAATATAAACTGACAGCAAACTGTACTCCTTACTAGCACTGATGATGTTACCTAGTTTGGATAATGAAATGTCTGCAAGAAAACAAGCAAGCTCAGACAGCACCAAGGACCTCTCCTTTCAACCCTGAGCTACAAATATTCTTTATACACCTTTTGAGATGTGATGGCGCAGTTGGTAGAATGCAGTATTGCAGAATAACTGTCAGGATTTCAAGCTTCACCATCTCAGGGTTGACTCCGCCTTCCATCCTTCTGAGGTTGATAAAATGAGGACCCAGACTGTAGTTAAAGAATATATCATTTCTTCTTGCAGGATAGATTAAATTGCCTTACACACTCATAGCCACAGTTTTCCATTGGAGGAAAAAAGATGGTACCCAAATAGAGGTGGTATTCAGCAGGTTCTGACCAGTTCTGGAGAACCGGTAGTGGAAATTTTGAGTAGTTCGGAGAACCAGTAAATACCACCTCTAACTGCTCCCTCCCACATCTATTCTCTGCCTCCCCAGTCCTAGCTGATCGGGAGGGAATGGAGATTTTGCAGTATCCTTTCCCTGCCATGCCCACCAAGCCATGCCACGCCCATAGAACCGATAGTAAAAAAAA